CAGAGGGTTATCTAATCAGCAGGGGGGGAACCTTGTGGGTCCAGAGGCTGGTCGGCAGGCTGAGGGTTGAGGGCAGAGGCAGAGGCAGAGACAGAGGTGGAGGACAGACAGGCAGGTTCCAGGAAGCGTTTGTTTCCTCTAGGATCAGGCAGGTATCCAGATAAGTCAGGATCTGAGAGGCAGAAGAACACAGGGTCAGACTGTTAACAAAATCAGATTTAAGATCTGAGGGGCTGGCTCAGGTTTTGCTGTACCATTACTGGCAAACACTCTGGCAGGGAAGTGTCAGCCTCCTCCTCCTTAAGTAGGGCTCCTGATGAGCAGATGGGAAACAGGTGTCGAAGTCAGCTCATGCCCTCAGGAGAGATCTCGTGCGCCCTCTGGTGGAGAAAGTAGAAACCCAAACCTCCAGATCCCAACACTACCCTGCTAACATGAAACAATTGTGTTAAAGTCACTAAATACCAAAAACCGTTGCATTCCTTTTTTCAGTGTACAACAGAGGCCCAACGTTTAAACCAGTGTGTAACATCTAGGCTCAAACACAGTTTGTATCTTCCTGCCTTGACATTGTCAAAATAAATTGAATGATTGGTATTTGTCCATTAAAGCCAAACCCATTGAGGTCTGATGAGGCTTTTCAATAGTTCTACAAAGCATCCTCTGCTTTTTATGGTTTACTCTCAGCTGGATGCAACAGCAGCTCCTAGCTGTGCCTTTAATTTGTCATCACAGCAACACTCACCAGTTTGTTTTTGCAGGACCTCAATAGTTCTCCAGGCCAGAGGAATGCTTAGCTTCAGCAAGTTAGGATGTGCCCATAAAGTGCTAGAAAGAGGAACACAAGGACTCTTCTTTTTTTTTGTTTATAATAGGTTAAATTATTGTAATGTTAGTTTCTCCGAAAATCAGTAATTTAACAACTGTAGCTCATCCAAAATGCTGCTGTAATAATTATGACCGAAACCAAAAAAACTGATCGTAGTTCATTAGTTTTTATATCACTACTCTGTTTACCCATCTGCATGATGATAGATATTCAAATTTTGCTGAATGGCTGTGGGCAGACTTACATCCCTGAGCTGCTTGTCAAATATAAAACAGACCTCTCAGGTGTAAACCTGCTTACTGAGTGTTGCCAGAAAAAAATGCATTACACTCATAGTTTTAGACCACAACAAATTTGGTTTCTAACAGATTTGTGTAGACTTTCGAGAGAATTTGTTAGAATATAACTATGGTATATTAAAGTCTTAAAATTTTGCTTATAACATATTACCTCACCAATTTAATTTAATTTAATAAAGTAATTAAACTGAATTGGATTTTACAGTTCAATGCCTAAACAACCGGTGTAAAATTTAAGAATGTGATCATCTTAAAAAAGCTTAGAATAATCATCATTTTTTTTTATTTGATTGGTTAGAATAGCGCAAATCATTTACATTGCCCTTAATAATATTTTGCCCAATGAACTATTAAATATAAAAACAAATAAGAGCAAAAAAAATATTTGATATACTTGAAATAAGTAATGACAATTTCATCACCAGTTTGAAACATGTAAAATTGAATCATTTATTTTTTAAATAGCTAAAAATAATAGCGTTTCAAATTTAAATCATAGTAATTTCCCTCTGCATTTATGTATTATAGGTTATATATTTTACATTTGATTTTCATTTAAAAATTATTTATTCCATTATTGATTTACTTGATCAAATATCTTACATCAACTCATCCTCAGCACTGTCTACTATAAATGTGCAAATATTGCCCTAAATAACCACTTTTGTACACTTAAATTCAAAATTCCTACTTTTCCTGATCCAGTGAACGCAGCACCAGTCGCGCTCCACTGCGCAGACTCCATACACTTTAATACTAGCGGCAACTTCACAGAGAACCCTGTGCGCTCCTCCGCCTGTCGCCCACATCATCATCATCATCATCATCATCACCATCATCATCATCATCAGCAGCAGCAGCAGCAGCTGCAGCATCATCGACAGCAGGATCAGTGTGATGAAGCAGCGCAGGATTGAGACCTTTCTGCTCTGAGACCTTATCAGCCTGCACACAGGTAGGAGCTTTTCTTCTCTCATCAAACCAAACATTTCTTAATTTCTTCATAAGTATAACACTTCAAGTTCATTTTAATATAGTTTAAATAAAAAAAAAAAAATTGATTTTACAAGCTGTGGCTTTGAGATTTGTACTGACCCTTTTTTTTAACATAGTGAAGCTCACTTACCTGTTGTGCCTGAAGTTCAACTTGTGCTGAAAACCCAGTCTAGACATTTACGTAACATTTTCCAAGTTATATGCAGCTTCTGTGCCACTGAAATATCAAGGGACGTGTGAATTGGGGCAACAAGCAGGATAAATCAAACTGAACTTGAAGTGGATGACAGCAGTGAGGCATTCAGGGGCAAGGGAAGAAACACCATATTTGTTAGAAAAGATAAATTTTCTTTACTACTTAAAGGGGTCATAGAATGATTATATACTGTAGGGTATTTTTCTGGTCCTTAAGTTCTCTGAATAGGTGTATTGGGCTGAAAATGGCATATTTGATGTTCTATGAGCCCTAATGCAAGCCTGGTTAAAAGCCCCAGAATGAAACCACAGGTTTTCTTCCTTTTATAGAATTCTCATGAATATTTAGATGACCTGTGCAATGATTTGTTGGTTTACAAGGATCGAAGCTCTGAGCAAAGATGCATCATAGCAACAAGCACTGACTCACTGAAACATCGAAATTGTTGGTGACCAGACGCCCTTTTTTTCCTGGACATGTCCTACTTTTCATACCTAAAAAAATGTTCGGGGGGAATTTCAAAATCGTCTGGGATTTTGGTCGACTACAATGCAGCAGAGCCGAGCCGTGAGCTCTGGGGCTGTTCGGGGCTGGGGATGGAGCGACCGAACCTGACCCGGTGACAGTAGCCTGGACACCGGTGGGCCCATGCTTACCGGGCAGGCATGGGGGAAGTACGGTAAGGCAGGCGGGGGGAAGCTTACCGTTCCCGGACTAGCCTCGGAGTTCACGGCTCGGTTCGAATGTCCGGTCCACCTGCCCAAATTTGGTCACCATAGATATGCTAGCATTGCTATCAAGCTTCAGCGTGCGGTTGTGGTGGCCTTATGGTTGGAACAGCCCCTCGTTTCAGTAAAAAAAGTTTAGCAAATCCTGCTTTGAACTGTCCAAGATTTTGAAAGCTGTCTTGGGTAAAATTCTTAGAGCAAATGAACAGCTGAGCATCAAACTTTGCAGGGATCTTCTGACAGTTAAAAATAATCCATGCCTGTCGAGCCTTCGGATCCTTGGGAAGACTGTGAAAATTTTCCCCTTTCTGAGTGCAGCTTGGAACATTGCATTTACTGTATATCAACTTCAGGGTGTAATAAAAGTACAGGCCAGAACCAAATAAGGCAACATCCCTGAATTGACGTCAACTCGGTGCTTAGTTTGAATTGAATTGAATTTAAAGCATGTGCTTATATATAAATATATATATATATATATATATATATATATATATATATATATATATATATATATATATATATATATAATGCATGTTAGTGTGAAAAATAATCAATTCCAGTAAAAACATTTTTTTTTGTCGCTCACTCTGTTCTTCTCACACACTCAGAATTAATTGACATGCATTGCTTTCTATCTACATTAAAAAATTAATATCATAAGGTTTTATAAACCACAGTTTACTTAACAGGTTTTGGCTTGGAGGAGAATTTAAAATAGAATTACATTCAGACTAGTTGTTTGGGCACCAGAACTGATCTTAAATTCTTCTCAATAAAGATCCGGAGACAGAATCACTTCAATTCTCTATTGAAAGGTAAGATATCACCTGCTTGGATGACCTCTCCATATCAATTAGGAGACCGTCTCTTCAAAGCTTTAAGTGTGGAGTTCTGTTGATGTAAGAGATGAGATGGAGGAGATATTTTCATAATATTCCCTCAGTTCTCCGTCTCTTTCATACACACAGAGCTGTGTGCAGGTTGGTGTGTTTCTTTCCCCTGCTCTCTGCAGGGTGTGACTGACAGGTGTTGTCCCACTGCTATAGCTCATGGATATTAATCAGGAGGAGTTTAGGAGGAGAGGAAAACCAAGGGGGAGAAGCCCTATTGATAGTTCTTCCAGCATGGATCCAGTCCATACTAATGCTTGAGTTCCCTCACTCCCTGCTGAGCAGCTTCACACTCCAGGGGAGAAGCCAGAATCATTTCCATTAAAGCTCCATTAGTATTGGTGATTTGTCCTTTAATGGTTGTCCATTTTTTCAAGGATCGCATATCTTGTTGGGTTTCTCAGAAATCAAGTATTGAGGTTAGCAGAAACTGTAATTGTTCTCACCTCTTCTTAAATTATTTATTTCCCTATAACATAAAACATAAAAAAGAAAAAAAACATCCTTCCTCTTTCCTTTTTTTCAGTTTTCAGCTACATTTTGATTTATGTTATTTTGTTTTTTCTGGGTTATTTGTTTCATTTCCATTTCTTGTCATTCTAGTTGCTTTTATAGTTATATTTAAGCAGGGTTGTGTTTTTATTTAGTTCCCCCCTTCTGCCGGTCTCCTTTCCCCTTGCTCCCTTCTAGTTGCTTCTATCCACATCTGCTCCCTATTAGCTGATTAGCATATTCTTTTTTTCCATCTCCCATATATACACCTCCTGTGCAGTTCCTAATTTCTGGATTCTCTTCATTACTTCATTTCTTCATTCCTCTGGCTTATTCCCTCCAGAGTCTCCTCCTCTTAGTTCATAAAATTTTGCAAGAAATCATCTCAACAAGTATCCACTACTCCTGACAGTAGCAACTCTGTACTCAAAGGCACACTGTGTAACTTTTGTCCACTAGGGGCGCTAGACCTGTAACTGCCCCTATTTGGCTTCTACTAAACATTGAAAATGGTAACAAAGATATATGACTATATACCAAGAGCGAAGTGATAACTTACCAGTCGAATACTAAAATTGAGAAAAGAGAATCGGTTTTACATCCTGCTTCTTTTTTCAGCCTGCGCCAACGAACAAACTCCTTTCAGCGAGTGACTCTTGTTATTCCTCGTGCACTTTCCCTTTCACATTTTCTTTTTTTAGACCCCTCAGAAGGTGTAAACTTTTTTCTAGCCTTAACCATGACCAGTAGTTAAGTTGGCGGGAAAAATAGTAGAGCAAAATCTTTAGCTCCTTGACTATATAAGAGCCTGCGGTCATAAGCGATGCGTGAGGGTCAGTCTTTGACAGTCAGAACCAACATAGTTCTCGATTTTGTTTAGTTTTTTTCTAAATAAGTTGAATTAGGTGTGATGCATGGAAATCATGGAGATTTTGATCTAATCTAAATGGTGTATTTCTTTATTTTAAATAATCTTGTAAATCCCAATATTAAAATTTTTTTCATGCAATAAAACATAGCTGATTAGTATATCAAAGCAGTTATCTTCATCCTGTCCAGTTCAAGCAGGGTTATCTTTGTTTCTTTGTTTAGTCTGCTGAAATGGCAGATACCTTTCCAGAATAATAATTGAAAAAAATAGCTCTTATGCTGGTCTATCCTTATTCAGGAGCTCAGCTCATTTTGGATTTTGACACATCTGATGGTAAACCTATGTGCTTAATTTTTCAAAGGGCTCTATGAATATGACAATGAAATAACTTTGCCTTAGGCCTGAATTTTTGCGGTATGTGTGATTTTACAAACACAATAAAATCCATCTTGTACAACTCCAGCTCAAATCGTTCGATTACAACCCAAAACGGTTTGGCCAAACACGTAGGAGTATTACGGTTTTGTCAAAACCCACAATTTCTACTTTGAAATATCTACAGAAATAGCGTGAAAACGTACTTACTTGTTCTGGTTTCTTTGCTGCTATTTGTTGCCACGATTGACTTAAACCAAACTTTGATAGCCGGGCACTAGGTGTTGATTCCCCCAATCAGCTCGCAAGGATCTGCAAAAATTCCTGTGTTCCAAAATTCATCTTTAGTAGAGGAACCTAAAGACTCAGATAACCAAAAAACGTGCCATCTGCTTTCACCTTGCTGTGATGCTGAGCAGCAATCTACGCTGGAAAAACATGTAAATCATTCGCTCAGGGCTTGAAAATCCTATTCGGTCTAAATGCACAATAACCTCTTAAAACCCACTGGATCGCCGGCGACCCAGTGGACCTTAAGTGGGGGTAATAATTCAGAATGCATAAAATTCCGCCGGTAAAATCTTCACCAGCAGGTGGAGCCATTGCACGCAGCTCCAAGCTGAGACAAAAAGTACCATACCCCAAAGCTCCTGAACTGTTATAGCTAGAGGTCTGAAATTGTCTGCATGTGTGGTTGACATGATGTAGAACAAATATAATACAATGAAACCTGCATTTTCTCAAGAATATCTTTATTACTGCCGTTCAAAAAAGACTTATCATTTCCGAGAATAAAAACCCCCAACTTTGAGACATGTTTGAACTAGGAAACTAGAGAGTGTTAGCTTATAAATAATGTATTGCACATGTAATTTGGACTTACAGCTCCTAAGTTATTTGCTTTTCCATTTGGGTATGCAAAATAGGCGAGGATTACCCAAAATGAGGTATATATTAAGAGGTTAAGACTGAAGTGAATTAAGATACTTATAATGTTGAACTATATATTCTGCAAGGTATTTTGTTTGTTTATTTTGCTACAACAAAGAGCTAGACGTTGGTTATTGTGGGGTTTTCTTTACCATTTGGTGCTTTAGGCTGTTCTGTTTCTGACATGTTTAGGTAGGAAAAGGACCAATCTGCCTCAGAAAGTCAGTTTAGAGCTGAATTTTGAAAGAGGTGAACTCATTCAGAACCAACTAGCTGATAGTTGCAATCCTGAATGTACTGCAGCAAAGTTCCTGTTTCTTTTTTACCTATTTTATCATGTTTCTTTTCAGACTATTCTAGGAATTATGTAATATCACAGGTGATGCAGCTGCTTCATATAATGTATCTTAGGCTAAATAACCCTTAGCTTCTTTTATTTAAAGCTTTTGAAGATTTTGTGAGTTCATCTTGTTACCCTGATAGCTTTAGTTCTATTATACTCAAAGCAAAAATACTGAAGACTTCAATAAAGCTGTTTTATACTGTAGCTCAAATAGTTGGTGCATCAAGTGCACTGATTTATGTAAAGTTATATTCAGCACTTAAAACACTTTCGGCTAAATGTGACCCTTTTGAAAAGGGGAAAAGAAAGTGTTTTCACATTTCATCGCTTTTCTGAGGCTTCCTTTAAGTACAAACTATTAAAGACGTTTGCATTGTCATCTTTGGCCTCAACATTTAAATTCTCTATTCTGTTTTGACTCTAATCAACGCAGAGCTAAAGCACTTTGCAGAAACACGATCTGACTTAAATCCCATCCAGAACTCCACAAGCCTCTCTGTTTTCTACCTGCTGAGCAGCAGACCAGAAAGTGACCGGAGTGACTGTACCGATTCCATTCTGACGGAACAATGCCAGCCTCTGATGAGGAATAAAAGCTGCATTGTCTCGTTGCTGAGGGATGATGATGATGATGAAGGGCAGAGGCAATTCCAGGTTTCACAAAGAAGTCTCACAACAACATGGCCCCATCCTGGCAGTGGTAATTGCGGTGTAACAGCACACATGAATACCTCCAAATCAGTCCTCAGCCTCATGCGTTCAAGCAAAGTGCACTACTCAAACATTCAGAACCATTAAATCTCAATCCCTTGTCCCTATGGCAACAGCAACTGCGTGTCTGATTGTCACAAAGTGGGATATCTGATAACTTATCACATGAAAGGTCATGCTGCTATCATCTGCTGACTCTTAAAGGATGATAAGTGTTTTAATATCAGTTTAATAGCAGTGCTCATCAAACAGTATGATGCAAAACCAGGTGTTTCTACTTTTTTTTTTAAAAACTGAACACGGTTTTATGGATGATGGAGTTGGGAAGTTGGGCCTGTTTTTCAGTTTTTAGTCCTGTTTTTAGTTTTAAGTCCTGTTTTTAGTTGTAGTTTTTAGTCCTGTTTATCAAAGCTATGAGCTCAACTATTTCTAACTGTACGTGCCCTCTTTTATCCTTTTTGACAAAAAAACTGTCTCAGAGCTGCTCTGCAGATATGATCTGTTCCTTTTGTCTGTGTGCTTCTCTCTTCTTAAACCCCCAGTCAGCCTAGGCAGAAGGCTGCTGACACTGAGCCTAGTTCTGCTGGAGGATTATCTCTCTTAAAACAAAGTCTTTCCTCTCCACTGTTGCTGCATGCATGGTTGGTGTGAGGGATTGCCTTAGAGTCAATGACAAAATGCAAGCAGGTGTCTACTGTGGCTACAAGCTTGTCTAGGAGAAGTGAACCCTGCTAAGTCAAGGACTGTATGCAATCAGCTGTTTTTTTAGACAGAAAACGTTTATACAATCTGACTGGAGGATTTGAAGTAATTATCTTTGTAAAGAGCCTTCAGATGACATTTGTTGTGAACTGGTGCTATGTAAATAAACTGAATGGAGAGAAAAAAAATATGTTATCAATTATCATCTACGAACTGAAAGGCGTAATGTTTATTTTTTTGTGGGCTTAAAAATGGCTTTTTATAGTTATATAGTTATTTATGGAGGCAGACACCTTTGAATTACTGAAGAGAATAGCTGACAGACTAGTGACTATAGAGATCACCATTATACCCGAATGTGACTGTGGCAAGTATAGAGGTTTGAACTGATATAGTAGTGAAGATTAAATGGCAGCAACAGGCTGAAGAATGCTGTTACTCTCCAGCATTTGTATCTATTGAGATACATCCCTGGTGTTTCATAGGTAATAAGGACTGACGTTACTCAGCAATGACTGACAGTTTACTACACTTAGCCCTCAGAGCCTTACATAAACATCTTGAATTAGTATTTTTTTATCACACAGACCAAAATAATTTTCCAAGGTTACTTGCCTCCTCACCTCCTCTTCCTCTCCTGGTCCTGGCTGCATGCTCCCTTCCTCTCCCTCTTCCTTGTTTAATAACCCCCTGTGCCACAGTCAACACTTGGACTCTTTAAAAAGGGAATATATGCTTCCACACCAACACAACCTCACTATCAAGCACTCATAAAACATGACCACAATGTGCTACAAATACCTAAAGTATTCGCTATTTAGCCCTATATAAAATCTATTTCCTATACAAATACTATTGATAAAATGATCTATGTGAGCAAACCTTGTCATCACTTTACAAGATAGGTGACGCAGACATTGGGGAAGCCATTTTGTACCATGATGGCCTCCGTATTGTTAGAGGGGAGAAGCAGTGAGGGGAGTAGTTGACGTTGCTGCGGTGTGCAGTACCATTAGTATGAGACGCACTGTCACTTTAACAGGAAATTAAATGTTAAATCTTTTCAGGATTAAATAAAATTTGTGGGGAAAAAAACCCCCACCAAACTTCCTAACTTTTTGAATTGATTTCTTTGACAGATTTTATTTTAAACATGAATATTAACAGTAATGTTACAGCCATAGTAGCCCTACTATTTCTTTCCACTTTTTGTATGTCATCATATTTATCATGACATTGCTACTCTCTGTGTTTTAAAATTAATTATTTTAGCCCATAATGTCTTTTTTTTACCCATGGGTGGAGAAGTAAAAAAAATAAGCTTAATCTAATTGATGAGCTTTATTTTTACAAAGATTTGCTTGCATAGCTTTAGCAATAATCTTTGATACAAACAGGCAACGTTTTAACAACACAGAATAGAAAATAAAATCTGAATTCAGCTTATTGTTTTCTTTCCTATTGTTTTTTTTTTGTTCTAATATATGAAATAGTTTGCAAGTTCCTCTGCAGTTTGAATCACCTCCCTTCCCCCAAGGTAACCAGAAAAACAACTTCCTAAAAAATTGATAAAACAAAATTACACACAAATGACTTTATTATATCAGTAGCTTATGTTAATTACATTAGAACCAGTGCCGCTGTATCCAGACACTACCTGTCTATGTTTTTACAATTTACCTGTTATTTCTACAGCCTATTTTTTAAATCCCAATCCCCTTTTGCACTTAAACTAGTCGGCAAACGGGCTGCAAATTATATGACGTTTATCATAATTATGATAACATTGTGTGCATTAGCGATATCACCAAGAACTGCTTGGAACGCAGTAAATGTTAGACAATGATTTAAGAATGTCTTTCTCTGCACTAAAAAAGTCCTCAGTAATTTGTTTATTTCTTAAAGCAGATCAGTTGTTTATCTTATGCTCCTGTTTGCAACCAAGGCAAAGTAGAAACACTTTTTAATTATTTGTTGCCCTCTCCTAACATATTGTTATACAACATTCATCATATTGTTTTTCTAATATCTTGCAGTCCTAGTTGGCAGCACATTTTCTATGTAAGAAAGAATGATTTGCTTCAAAAATGTTTAAGATATACAGTATTCCCCCCTCAGTAAGAGCCAGCAACCAGTCAGTCAGGTAAAGATAGGTGCTGCTGGCCTTTCTGGGCCAAAGTCACTGTGGAAATATGAAAAATTACCAGGAACAAATGATAAACGTCAGTCAGGCTCTATAATGTTTTTGAATGTCAGCTACCTGAAATCTGTATTCCTCAAGTTTTAAATGTCAGTACATCTAATGCCTTCTGTTGTGTTTAATAGGATGTTTACAGTTAAATCTGTCATCCTTAATTCACTCCTTTTTTTAGTTTGTTTGTGAAGGACTGGGATGTGTTTGCAATGTGTTGCAACATTTGCTTTGTTTAAGATCTTCCTTTGAACTGTGAAAACCAACTTTGGTACTTTTACAACCAAAACTTTTTTTTCACTCTTGCTCTAAATAAATGAATAGCTGATTATTGGGTCAGCAACTGTTGTCTTCTGTCTACAGTATTTTAATGTGTGATTGGTCTGGACTGCAAACAGCACAGTTATTGTTTTCTACATGGCAGATTTTCCTCTTAGATTTTTAAAGCTCCTAGTGGGAGTAACGGGGCAAAGACACAAAGTTTTTAATTTGAAAGATTTAGATTTAAATCAGACCTGCGATTAAAGCTTGAATTGGGATACTTTTTGAACTTATGCCTTTTAGACCTTCTGGCGTTTGTAGTAATTTATTTAAACATAAAGGACTTCTTTTGGCATGTTTAAGCAGCAAAACACTTAAAAAAGCCTGTAAGACAGTTAATGACTTCAGCTCAATGGCATATCAAGCTGGGAGTTAGATGTTGTTACTCCACAGTGATTGTCGGTGATTGACCACCTCCTGTTGTTTCTGTAGTGTGTGGGATTGTTGGTAATAATTGGCCATTGTTGTTGGCCAATCAATGCAAGCTAGCAATTATTTGAGACCTTACTGAGTAGGTTTGTGATTCACAAATTGTGACCACTGATGTCAAAAAGACCCTGAGGAATAGCGGTGAATAAAATGAAAAGTATCAAAGAATAATGACAAACTTTAAACCAAAACAAGTCAAACAAGAACGTCTTCAAGATTCATCTCATCACGTTAGGTAGCTTAGACACTTAAAAAAAAGAAAATGAAAGCCAAGAACATGGATGCTGTGTGTTGAGGATTAATTAATATGTTTTTTCTGTTAGGATGGCTGACGTTATGAACTCTTTGGAACCTGAGACGGAGGACTTTAGTGGAGGAGGAGCAGAAGATCAAGACCCAGTATCCTTCTCTGTGTGTTTATTAGCTTGTGGTAATTATTAACTAGGGATAGATCCCACGAAGAAGATGTATAATAATAATATTAATAAAATTATTAATCTTTGAAATAAACCTATACAATAGTGTGTTTTTTTCATATACATTTGGAATACTCAGTTCCCTTGTTATAGTCTGTGTTTTCAATATACACAAAGAACCCTTTATCCAAATCAGGATAATTTAAAACTAAAATATTTGGCTATTTTATCATATTGATGATAGCCATCTTTTGGATTTGAAATTAGATTTGTTAAGAATTAGTTAATACAAAATATCTTTTTTCATTACTACCCTGGTTTAATATTGAGCCTTTCATTTTTATCTTCTTAGATCATTGCATTAAAATCAAAGTGTCTTTTAAAAACATATACATTTTGAAAAGTGTTTAATGTTGTGTTTTTCATGATGAAATAGAATGTTCTTTTATAACAAAAATTTAAAAAGAATGTATTAATTTTGTAACCACTTAGAAAAAAAGTTTATATGATTTTTATACATTTTTTTGGTTCAGTGATACAAAAAAGCTAATTTTGATAATTAGAAGACATGTTCAATACTTCATGGAGCAATGCTACTGTATAATACAGTGAGTAAGTACTTACTGTACATACAACATAGCTCAACATGTGAACCAAAAGGTTTCAGAGCTGAAAAACAACCAAAAACGATTATTTGACATACCTGCCTTGCTTACTGTACATCCGTATGCATTTTTCAAATGACACCTTGTGAAAAACACCATAACTTTGGTCACTTATGACAGAAACTGAAAGCATCCCTTGAAAGAGCTATTTTTAGTTTGTTTGTATTCTGCTCAGTTGAACAGACATCACTCACAATATAGGGCTGCATACAAGAAGCCTAAAAAAGATTTGCAATTATGGCAGGAGTAAAACATTCAGCCCTAAACATGCAGCCAGAGGTACAGACCAAAGCATGTAGCCATGGCTTCCAAAACAGCAAATCTGATACTAATCACAAGTTTTTGGTTGGGGAGCTTCCCCCTGGTTCCATTTGATTTTCTTTTTCCATGGGTCTGACAGTGGAGCTGGGAGAGTCGTGGCTTGTTATTCAGCCACTGCCCACAACATGTCAGACTTGATTACACCCTACATAGATCAACCATCATACATGACGTGCACAGAATGCTTTGGAATATACAAAACAATATTCAGCTAAGGAATTCTTTGCAGATTTAATACATTGATATCTTCATTTCTTATCGTCGCTTGATAGCTGCAATCTGCCCTATTTAGCTAGATAATATTTTAACAAAAATAGAAACTTTTTAAATCTGGTTGCTAGTTAGACTTGGTCTCTATGCCTCACAATCTCAAAATTAACTCTAATTAGATACTTTAAAATTGAGGTAGTTTTTTCCTTTCTATGTCCCCCTGAGTGCTCCAAGTGTGTGCTGCAATGCTGTTTTTAAACAAAAGCTTTTTTATTATACTTTGGAAGACTGTTGCAAGCCTTACATCAGTTTTAAAAAGATCTTCCCGGATACACATGAGAGGTATCCAAAGCTGTCCAAGAGGCTTCCCTCCATTGTGGTGGAGCCAACGGATGCGACCGAAGTGGAGAGCGGAGAGCTCCGCTGGCCGCCAGATGATCCCGGCTCCTCAGACCCACAAAGTGAAAGACGGAGAGCAGATGATCAAACTGTAGGTAAGGAGCGATAATAACCTGATCTTGTTGCCACCGGGTATTTTTAAATTATAGTATCACAAATATATCAGGAAATGTGTCTTTTTCTGGCCTCTGGATTTAAAAGTACTCACTGAAAAAAATTCTTCAAGATTATGTGAAATATTTCTGGAAACAAATTAAGTTTTGGGTATTTTATATTTGCAGCTTTAAGCTTTTTGGACCACAGTGGATTTTGAAAGTATTCACAGAGTCTAAGTTATTCAAAAATTTTATATTGAACAGCCTTATTACAAATTAAATCTCTTTTATCAGAATTCTACGCACAGCATTCCAGTGCATTTTTTTTAGATTAAAAAAAGAACTGATAATAAGAAACCCTATTCAGGTAAGTATTAACAGCTTGGGGTAAATGCCTTGTTGAGCCACCTTTTGCAGAATTAACAGCCTCCAGTATTTCTGAATACAGTGAGTAAAGCTCTGGACACTGATCTGGAGGCAGCTTGGCTCATTCTTCTTTGCATATCTCAAGCTATGTCTGGACCAATGGAAGATATGTGTTTAGAATAATTTTCTTATCTCTCCAGGTGTTCAATCAGATTTTAATTTGGAATCTGGCTGGGCCACCTCAGAACATTCACATACTGTAGTGGTTCTGATCCAGTCTATTGAGATCCTGGCTTTTTGCTATGGGTTGTGTCTGACAAAAACGTTCTAGAGCAAATTTCCGCTCAGGATGTCTCTGTTCATTTTTTTTAATAATCTTTTCCTCTATCCTGACCAGTCTGCCAGTTCATGTGGCTAAAAATCAACATCATAGAATGATGCTGCCAATGCATGCTTTACTGTAGGAATGGCATTGGACTGGTGATGAGTGGTGCCTGGTTTATTTCACACATGGCACCTGACAATCCCACCTAAGAGTGCAAATTTTGTCACACCAAACCAGAGAATGTTCTTCCTCATGGTCTGAGAGTCCTTGAAGTTGTTGATCGTTACAAAGATTGTTGGCCTTCTGTAGGTTCTCCTCTCTGGACCTCTGACAGTGTGGCCATTGCCTTGACTAAGACCTGCCTCCCCCGTCACTCAGTTTAGACAGACTTTAATACCATTTGTAAAATCAAGCTCTAACTTACCTAAATGTAAAAAATCTGCCCTGTAAATACTATCTAGGTGCACAGTACATACCCTTTGCTTTATATTTTTTTTCAAACAGCATTTACTCAAAGTTTTACATCCAAATTGTGGAGTGGTGGCCTAGTGGTTAGAGCACTCCGTCTGGGTCCCGGAGGTTCTGATTTCAAGCCCCACTCCCACAGACTGTCAGTCTGGGTCCCTGAGCAAGACCCTTAACCCCACACTGCTCCCCGGGTGCCACACAACGGCAGCCTAATACTCCCCAAGGGGATGGGTTACCCACTAGATCCTTATAAATGCAGTAGGTAATTACAGTAATGGTTGTAATAGTTTTTCAGGCCCAGGCAGGTGATCTTGCCACCGCTCCAGTATCATGGCAGGTTATGGAAATCAGTGGCAGGTTGCCTGGTATCTGCTACGGTGGTGAGGGGGGTCAGGAAAATCAGTGGCAGGCCATCTGGCACCTGCTCCGTTGCCGTGGCAAGTAACGGAAATCAATGGCAGGTTTTCTGGCCCCCATTCTAGCACCATGCCAGGTCATGAAAATCAGTGGCAGGCTGTCTGACAATGTGTCTTGTTAATTTTCAATAAATTCTACCTGTTGTTCCATTTACACAACAGCATGTAAAATGAACTCAATTTACAGGCATTCAATAAAGGAATGCTACAGTTTCCATGTGAAAGGAGGATGCACTGTCCCATATGAAACACAATCCACTTTCTGTATGTTTACAGGTGAGGAGAAGTCAACTGTTGGAGATAGTGAAGAGGCCAAAGGAGTGGAGATGCAGGGCTCAAACTGAACAAACATATGAAATACACTGTTACTGTAAGTCTGGCCAGAGCACATAAGAACAAGATAAAGGAGCAGATTCTGAGGTCAGAAATGAATAGTGAGCTAAAGTGAGGAGGGACTGACAAGCATAATTTTAAACCCCGGCTTAATGGACTTGGAGCCAGAGATGAGTCATGTTTTCGTTCTTCTTTACATTTGAAGGTTTTTTTTTATTTCTGATACCCTGAGGTCAAAAAGGGGATTCAACAATACATCCAGCTACTTTCCACCAATTTGTTCTCTGACTGAAATCTCTCAAACAGAACAGTTGGCTGCTTCCAAATAATGATAGAAATAATGCAATAACTCTTTGCAGTAATCTATATTTTGATACCAGAAATGTTGTTTTCATGAGACTCTTTTTCCCCTCTGGCTCCAAGTTCTCAATGTGCCTCATGCACATGACCATCAGCACATATGTGTGGACAGATATCTCTAAATACTTAATTTAGTATTTAGCTTTGAGTGCCATCTTATTATTAATGGTAGCTAAAGTATTTTGTGCACACTTTTACACACTTTAGATGAAGATGAATCATTGTTAGATCCTGACTGCTGTGGTAAATGTGATCTTAGTCTCACTCTTCATCTTGAAAATAGGCTATAATATTTAATATGTATCTTTTATTCGATGTTTTACTATTGTATAATAAATGATCTAAGAAAATACTGTCTTCCTTCCTTGGGTGTTAAGGTGAGTGTGTTGTTTTTTCTTAAATATCGTTATTAACTTTATATGTAACAAAAGGAGAGTTCATTATTAAACTGATGTAAAAGACAAGAGGGCTGGGCTCAGGCGTTATTAAGTGTGCTTACTCAATCATTATGACTAAAAAGCCAAGCCAATAAATAGGAAAGAATGAAGGTAGGTTTAAATAAACCTGCCAAGTGCTCATTTAGAGCTCTCACCAAAACTGTCTGAGCACGGATTGTTTAGGACTGACCCTAAAAACACATATTTAGTAAAAATTTTTTGTATTTATCGAAAAAAATAGTAAATTGAGAAGGAAAACACATTGTGAAATAAGAAGGGAAATAATTTAATAATAATTCTAAACGATCTGTTGAGTTTATTAATTATTTTGTGCTCAAAACTGTGCTTTTATCTCTTCAATTAGGGCCATATCTGAGAAGTTCTAATTTTAAACAATATTCAAATCAGTTATTAATAAAGTCTCAATTTCAACAAGTAGTCTAAAAAATCAGTTAAATCTTGTCATACTGACATATGCCAAGTCAAGTACATACATTCCAATTGATCCTTGTTATCAAACAATGCAGTCAAGCTTGCTTGGAATTTTGAATTGGTGGAAAGGTTTTCTAGGAATGATCATGTAACAACAGCTTGTACACAAGTGAATCACGATGAGCTATTTATGGAATCAAAGAATATATTTACTAGTGGTGGGCCGTTATCGGTGTCAACCCACATTAACACCGATAACGGTCCACTATAACGGATGTATATCTGGGGGCGAGGACAAATCAGTCTTCAAGCTTGTGTAGGCCTACTATGAAATTATCACATTGGACATGACATGCTGACATAAATGCAGCTCTAAAGCCGCCTGGTTTGCTTCAGGGAAATTTTTTTTTTAAGAAGCTTTCCAATGGAAACCTCGACAAGACTAAAGCTGTTTGCACCTTGTGCAATGTGGAACTAGTTTACGGCAGAAGTTCTTCAAGTACTTCAAGTGTCAAATACCACCTAAACACAAAGCATCCCTTAGCCAATCAGAAGATGCCGGGCCAAGTACTGATTGAGCGCAGGGGAAGGTCATCTTTGTTAAATTAAAATGTTTGAGTGCAACCAAGTCAAGCCCATGAACACAACTCTATCAGCTTAGTTAACTAATGTCCTCACTCAGTGGATAGCCACCAGCTGCCCGTCCATCAGCGTGGTTGAAGATGATGGGCTCTAGCTTGTTCTCCAGGCGGCCACAGGTGACCCTTCTTATAAACTAGCTGCAAGGCACACTATCATGAGGAGAATACATCACCAGCAACCCAAAGAAAAAGAAACCAACGAAAAAAAGAGAAGAGAGGAGACGCGACGAGCACAGAACTGAGGCAACTCAACAGCACACAAGAAAAAAACAAAACCTACCGTCACGGTACACCACACCGAAGCAAGCCAAAAAGCAAACTCCACCCCTTCACGTAAGCTAGGCCATGTAATGTAAAAAAAGATGATACCACCAAGAATAACCAAAAAAATATGTTTGCTTCTTGATGATTGCTTGGGTGAATGTGGGTAAACGGGGACGCAGACACATATCATGCATGCCTTTGGCAGAATTCAAATGAGCCATTTCAATCTAGATCAGTCTAGATTAATTCAAAGATTACAATGAGATTAATCTAGATAAAAAAAAGAAATCTATGCCCACCACTAATAATTACAAATGATTTAGTATGTAAGGTTTATACATTAAACCCCAGGTTTGATTCTTCTTGTCAAACCATCTTGGCCTCTCTAGGTCCTTTAAAATCTTCAAGCCTGACTTTACACCAAAGCTTTATTTCAGAGAAAGGACTCATACTGTCAGCAGGGAATTTTCACAGACAAAAAACAAAATGGAAAAGAAAGAAGGGTTCTTGAAAACACCCTGTCTGGAGTGTGAGACATCCGCCTGTACTATGAAATGGCATTAGGGTCGGAAGGGAAGACTGAGTGCCAACATAAAAATAGCTCAGGAAAATGGAGATGGACAAGGTCAGTATTTTTAATCAAAACCAACCATTTTTCTTTTTTAGAAGATATCAGTGCTTATAGGAACTAAACGACCTGATGGTAGTCCTAACTGTAAACACTCAGTGAAACTCAGGAATGACTGTAGCTTTGGGATTTTTGTTGTTGATTAGTCGAGCTAATTTTTTTTAACCTTAATGAACAGATCGATTTAAATAAGTGAAGAAGGTGAACAAAGCCATGTTCTTGGTGAAAGTGAGATTTGGTTTGGCAATCAGTCATGTATCATGTGACCAAGTCAATCAAAAAAGTCTTTATTGTTATTAATTTTTTATGACGGAATTTTGATAACACATCAGCTTAGTTTAAACATAATATGCAAAAGCAAGTACGAACCACTCAGAAACACTTATAAAAAACGAAGAGTTAGCATCTTTAGAGGAGACCCCCAATTTTCTAGAAAATCCCAAAGAAGTATAAAATATTTAACAGTTTTTATTTTTTATCTCTCTGAAGAAAAATAATGTAGTATTCATATAAAGTGCAAATGGCCTTGCTTGAACTTCAGGAAAACCCTGAGGAGCAAAAGGCCAGTGTGTATGGCAAACCTGTGGCTGTTTATCTGGTTTATTTTACTATAACTTCCGCTATATCAGACAAAATTTTATCATAGCAGCAGAGACACCTGAATGCCATACCTGTGCTGGTGACTGATCCATGTTGTCACAGAACAACTGCACAGTCAGGTTTGCAATCATGTTGGGGCCATTGCCCATCTCTGGCGGAGAGAAAGGCGGGGGTGCACCCTGGACAGGTAGCCAGTCCATCGCAGATCCTGAATTGATTGATTTGGATTTCACAAGAAGACAGGCAACTGTATTCTTACCAAGGGCTTCAAGGATGAGTCAGTAGTTGGAGATGGGATCGAGGTTCCTGTCCAGATATTAGATTAATGGTTGAGCTCTTTGCAAGGCAAGGAAGGAATAGCCTTCAGGGCATAACGTCTAGGGTCTCTGGGTTTTTGTTGTTTTTCTGGTGTGAGTGAGCTTCCTGACTAGTATGTATATAAGATCCAAGCAACCTCCCCTTCATCTCTCAAGTAAAGTCATATTACAATGTGCGATTTTTTTTGCCCTTTCCAGTCGTGCGAGAATTTTTCGATCGGGGCGACTTTCAGCCTGATCGTGCGTTGTGTATTGTACGGGGGTAATGAGGGGCGATCAGCCTCCCGATCTGGAATTGTGAGGTCGGGAGAAAATCAAACATGTTTGATTTTCTCCCGACCGTCGTGAGCAAATTGCAAACTGCACATGCCCAAAGAAGAATTCTTCTTTTTCCTCTTCCTCTCAGATTGAGTTTCATCGTACAGAGCTGTAGCTGCGTGCAACGATTGAAAAAATTGCACAGTGTATGCCTGGCTTAAGCAAATCAGTCATCAGTTTTCATCAACCAACTCCTTCATGATCATTCCTCTGTCTCTCCTCAGACCAACGAGAAAGTTCAACTGATTTCCTCCAGTCCTCCACTTCCAGATACCTGTTGCTTTTGTAAATAAAATGTTAAAACTCAATAGTTCTCCGCGTGAATCTACATGTGGGTAAAAAAACTACAAACCAACATGACATATACTTGTTTATTAAAAAAGAGACAGATGAAAGTAGTGAAAAAATTAGGGTCTTCCGGCACAAGGCAGTTGATAATATGGCAGAGAGGCTGAGGTGCACACAGGTGAAACAGAGGTGATTAGATAGGGATCAGGTGAGCTGAATGAGGCTAAAAAAAAAAGAAAGAACATGGCAGGAGGAACCTCAGCATTAAAAAATGCAAAAAACAATAAATAAAATCCTAAAAAAGAAATTTAGTGAATTCTACTGTATGTGTTAAGGCAGCCTGTGTTCATGTTTTAGCTGAGAGAGCAGCAATGTCAGTTTGCAGCCCAGCTGTCAAATGTTATGTAATAACTGGAGTTGACAAGGATGGGACTTTTATGAATAATTTCTGACAACTGATTTTTGGACAAGTGAGGGTGTCTATATTTGTTACAGAAAAAAATAAGAACTCCAAAAACATCATTTTTATCAAAGCAATACTTAATTGTCACTCATTGGTTTCCAAATAATTTTTAATCTGTTTCAAACAGATGAACCTAATATGAAAAATACAAATAATCTACAAATGCATACACTGCATAGCACTGTGAAAAACATACGGATCGTGTGAAGTCATGACTTTTCCACTCAAGGTGAATAAACTGTGTTCAATGCCCGTGATCTTTCAGCCCTCAGGCAGGACTGCTTAGGAAAATGTCACACAACTCTAATCAATAGCATGAACTTGGGGGAATTGGAAAATCATTGTCATTCCCAACAGCCCGCTGATTCCGAAATGAATGCTAAAACTAATTTTTAAGGGAGTGAAGCCATATCAAGTCTGTCTGAAAGATTGAATTCAATTCATGTTAGTTTAAAACTACGTTATTAATTTCAAAAATTAAGTGAGGTAGCCAATCGCCTGTTGTTCATTGAGATTTTATAGAATCTTCTGTAGCAATCTTCTGTCTTGCATCAGATTTTTGTGAAGCCTCTGACTGGGGAAACTCTGTTGGTGTATAGCAGCTGCTGAAGAGGATGCACACTATTGACCATAATGCCATTTTATGAAGAGTTCTTCTTTTAGAATTAATCTCTGGAGTTTCCAAATGAGGTCCTAAAACAGAGCCAGCCTTCTTTATTAGCTTGTTTAACGTTTTAAGTAATGGGCTCTATGCACAGCTCCACTACTTCCTGAATTTAAGGTAGCTCCTTTGTTTCCTGTCTTTCATTACTGGACGAACTGATTAATCCAGGTGTGTCTGGCCAGTTACTTAGGTCATACACACCTGGAAAAATCAGTGCATCCAATCATGAAAGACAGGAAGCAAAGGAGCCTCCTGAAGTTCAGGAAGTGGTGGAGTTGTGCATAGAGCCTA